TGTCGGGTCCCCTGGAACTGGAGAGTTATGGACAGTTGTTAGATGCCATGTGGGTGTTGGGATTCCAAGCTGGGTCCTCTGCGAGAACAGCCAGTGCTCTTAACTGCTGAGCCATCTCTCCAGCCTCTCCTTTTTTTTTTCTTTAAGGATTTATTTATTTTTAATTTATGTGTATGAGTGTTTTGCCTGCATGTGTGTATGTGCACTGCATGCATGTAGTGCGCACCAAGCAGAAGATGGTGCTAGATCCCTGGAACTGGAGTTACAGGTGATTGGGAGCAGCCATGTAGGTTCTGGGAACTGAAATTGGGTGGTTTGAGGAGCAGTAAGTGCTCTTAGTGCTGAGCCATCTTTCCAGGCCCCTGTCCTTGGTTTCGATAAGCCTTAGCACTGAGCATTTTGTAGCATGCTCCTCTATTGGAACATGTCTTATGGTTTTCTCACACAAACCTAGGGTTATGTGCTTTGGAAATGAAACTCACCCCAGAAATGCTGCTTCTTATAGTTGCATCCAAGGTCCAAATCACCATGCACTTTGACTATTGAGGTTGACTCTGGCCCCTGACTGAGGCAATGCTTGTCTGTTTTTTTTCTACTGTGAATCTTCTCTGAAGGCTTCCAGCCCCCTGTTGTTTTCTTTAGGAGGAAGTCCTTATGTGTGGCCCATATTTAATGTGTAAGGATATTGTATAATTTTTGTTGTTGTTGTTTCGTTTTTGAGACAGTCTCATTCCAAAGCACAGGCTGACTTGGAACTTGCTATGTAGCCCAGGCTGTCCTCGAACTCATAGCAATTCATCTGCCTCAGCCTCCCAAGTGCTGGATGACAGGTTTAAGGTAAGCCACCATTGCCTGGCCTTGTAATTTTAAATAAACATACTTAACTAGAATTTTAGTGTAGACATTTAATCTGCGGTTAGTGAAACATGTTTGTAACAAAAACATGGCTACTTAAAATATTTAAAAATGCAGTCAGAGATCTGGATTTGCCAGAAAATTTCAAGCTTTCCTTCATTCTAATAATGTTAGCCTTTGGCATTGCATGGTAGCTGTTAAGAGTCACTTTTCATCTACGTTTTATGTCAGAGAGAGAGAGAGAGTGTGTGTGTGTGTGTTTAAATGCAATGAAAGGAAAAGTGGAATATCATTAGTCAAAACTTGAATAAAATGTGCTAATATTTTGATCGTTAGTGCTTTCCTGCACTTCTGCACACCTTACTTCTAAATTGAGGACTTAGTTGGTATGTAAATTATGATTATAGACCAGAACAGCCCAGGACCCAAAACGAGCAAGGGAAAACACCTTGTTGGAAACCCCCAGGACAACGCATCTCCCCTTGTAGTTCCCGTCTGTGTCTTTCAATGATCAGGCTTATGTTAGAATTAGATCAGAATTTCCATCTTAAACTCTCAGCTTCATGGATGTGTGTAATCTCTGTGTGGTCTTGATTGTAAACAAAGGCCTTCAACAATGAACTTCAATTAAACAATTTCAGAAAGGGAATGGGCTTGCAAGGCAGAAAATAGACATCTGGTTTCACATTGTAAGTTGAGAAAACCTAAGAAGGGCTTTGGTTCTAAAAGTGAGGTTTACAGTATTTTTCTTAAGATTTTTCTGATTTCTCTACAGTGACAGTTTATTGTTTTAAAGAAAAATCTACATTAAGAAATAATAAAATTAACTTATTAAATGTTTGTTTTTGACATGGGGTCTTGATGTGCTGCCCTTCTGTCTCACCTCCCCAGTAGCAGTATGTACTTGGCTGGTACTGTAGGTCCGGCCACACCTACACCTGCTTTATCCTATGCCAGTTGCTCTTGTGCATGAGTGTGCATGGTGCTGGGGATGGAGCCCAGGGCCTTGCTCAGGCCAGGCTGGTGCTGTGCTACCAAGCTGTGTGCCCAGACCTAGGAATTTTTTGCTTTTTTGGAGATGTATTCTAATACATTATGAAACAAATAGTTTATTTTCATGACTTTTCTAAGATGATTAGAACTTGAAAATCATTCTACTGTATTTACACTTTCACATTTTGTGTTTTTGTAAACTGATTTTCTGGTTTAGAAAATGAAAACAAATACGTTATTTTTGTGTGTGTCGATCACTGTAGTAAGGGGCTCTGGAGAGACAATTCTGTTTCTGTTCCAATAGCTTGCAAGAGGAAAAGAGTTTCTCTGTCATGGATTCCTCCTGGTTTTTAAATGACCTACAAAACAGTGGGATAGCCATGTTTGATAGGTGAACATTAGTTTCCTGGGGCTGCTCTGGCAAATGCTCACAAACTTGGTGGCTTAAAGAATGGGAATTTTTTCTCTCCATTCAGGAGACCAGAACTCCAATTTGTTGGCAGGGCCGGGTGGTTCTGAGCTCTAGAAGACAGACACTTGCATGCCTTCCTTGTTTTCTGGGTTGTGCGCAGTTCTGGGTGTTCTTGGCCTGTTCCCGTGAATTCCTGTCTCCTGTGTCTTCTGTGGTGGTCTCCTCTGGGTCTTGTCTCTGTGTACCTCAGATCTCTCCCTTTTTCTCATGAGTATAGCAGTCTTTGGCTTCAGCACCAGAATGATCTCACCTTGAGCTCCTTAATTATATCTGCCAAGTCCCAATTTCCAAATAAGGTCACAGTGACAGGCACCAGGGTTAGAGTTGGGTATGCATTCTTTGCCACTGTTCCAACCCAAAGTGAGCAGTCCTCCCCAGGTTGCTAATAAGCATGTGAAAGTACTTTTACTAAATGTCATCGTAGTTATGGACTCTGGCCTATGTTATATTTGTATAAATGTGATTCAGAATTTAGTTACATGTTTTCTTTCTCTTCATGTGGTTTACAATTGATGTGGCATTCTTGTGCTATGAAATTAGGCGGAGCTCATACGCAAACTATAATTTGAGACTTTAAATGGTGTGAGCAAGGTCTTAAATTTTGTGAACGTGTGTCATTTTGCTCTTGATTTTTTAAAACCTACATTCTTGGTTATTTTTGTAAGACAAACGTTTTTGTGGTTCCTTTTAATGTAGTCATGTCTGTCTCCACTTAAAAAAAAATTAAATTTGTCCAGTGATCTAGTCTGAATTAAATTTATGTGCTATCAGAAAAGACTTTAATAAAAACAGTTACAATTTGCCAGTGGCTGTATGAGATTAAGGACTGAAGCGTGTAAAGGCTGGTCCTCCCTTGAAATAGGTCCAGCCGCTTTCTGAGAAATACTGGCCTGGCCTCGGCACATGTGGTTTGGGGTGAAACTGGTGTGAACGTCCTCTTCTTTTTCCATTTTGAGATGATAACTGTGAGAATTTTATTCTTATTATTAGGGAAATAAGATAGTGGTGTAGACATCATAAAGCTGTTTACAAAGTTTAATTACACTAACTCACAGCTTTAATATTTGACAGTATAATTTGTAAAAGCAACAAACCTTTTCTGCTCTCTGATCTCTACCTACCCACATGTGTCTGCTTTGGTGCTTTGTTGCATGTATTTCAAGAAGTGGTCCCCACCCCGCCCCCTCTCTGGCATTTGTTTTTCACTAAATTGACCAGGCTGACCTTGAATTCAACAGAGGTCCCCCCTGCCTCCCCCCTGCCTCCCCCCTGCCTCCGCCTCCCAAGTCCAAGTCCGGGGATTAAAGGTGTGCGTCCCCACACCTGGCTGTTTCTATTCTTTCTGTTTGTGTGTCATCTCTACTAAAATGTAAGTTCAAGTTACAGAACTGTCCACACCAGTTTCATTCTTATTTAGGAATTCTGTTTTTTTTTAGACAGGCTCTTTCAGTGAACCTGGAGCTGACCTTTCTTGGCTGGACAGTGAGCCTGGAGATTCCCTCGCCTCTGTCTGGCCCTCATCCTTGGGCAGTAGGCCCTTCACTCCCTGAGCCATCACTGCAGCTCCTCGGCTTACTCCATCCAATGGCTGTTTGCTGTGCTGTGACGGATGTGCTCTAGTTCATTTAGCCTGTCGTTTATAGGGCCAGGGACACTGCCCTGAGTGCCGCACAGTACCTCAGCTGCCGGGGCGGTCATTTGTTTGGAAATGTAGTGTTGCTTTCCTTCATTCCTGGCCGTGTTCCTGTGAAATTACACATTTGAAAATAATTACTGAAATAATTTTCAAATATAATTTATGTTTTTAAAATTAAAGCGGTTTTTAAACCAATGAAACATTTTTTGCTGTAAAACCTTGAGAGAAATACAGAGTGGTATGACGATCCAGGCTGCTTTGGTTGCGTCTGTGGGGGCTCGTGAGGGACCCTCAGGCAGCAAGTGCAGAAGCCTGTCTGTCCACCGTGCAGGGCACGGCTGGAAGGAAAGCAGCAGTCAGTGTGGGAGAAGAGAGGGACAACAAGTGACGAACTCCTTCCGGGACTCAGAGGGTGCTTAGCGCGGGTGACCGCAGCACCGTGTGTCCAGTCCAGGGTGACCGCAGCTCCGTGTGCCCAACCCCGGGTGACCGCAGCTCCGTGTGTCCAGCCCGGGGTGACCGCAGCTCCGTGTGTCCAGCCCGGGGTGACCGCAGCTCCGTGTGTCCAGCCCGGGGTGACCGCAGCTCCGTGTGTCCAGCCCGGGGTGACCGCAGCTCCGTGTGTCCAGCCCGGGGTGACCGCAGCTCCGTGTGTCCAGCCCGGGGTGACCGCAGCTCCGTGTGTCCAGCCCGGGGTGACCGCAGCTCCGTGTGTCCAGCCCGGGGTGACCGCAGCTCCGTGTGTCCAGCCCGGGGTGACCGCAGCTCCGTGTGTCCAGCCCGGGGTGACCGCAGCTCCGTGTGTCCAGCCCGGGGTGACCGCAGCTCCGTGTGTCCAGCCCGGGGTGACCGCAGCTCCGTGTGCCCAACCCCGGGTGACCACAGCTCCGTGTGCCTGGGATCTGGGGCAGTCCTGGTTCATTCTTGCTGTTCTGATGTCTTTGTTATTAGCATCTTCTTTTGGTCCTGTTTGGTAAGTTGCACATCATCTCATTTCATCTCTGTTCCCAGTTTCCCTGCCTGTGTACGGCGAATAGCAGATGCCGCGGAAGTGTTTCCGTCGCTGTTCCTGATGAGACTGCTGGGAGCACCTGTTTATCTTTCTCAACTTTGTGAGATATTTTATTCTTTTGGCCTCCTGGATACCATTTTCTTTTCCTGAAAACTTTTTTTTTTTTTTGGATGCTGGAGAGGTGACTTGGTGGTTAAGGGCACTGGCAGCTCTGGCAGAGGATCTGGGTTCAGTTCTCCACACCAACATGGTGGCTAACAACCATCCATGACTCCAGTTCCAGGGAATTCAGTGCCCTCTTCTGACTTCTATAGGCACTGAATACATGGGTGTACCTACATATACATAAAATTAAATGTTTTTCTTATTTATTGACTGGTTCGTTCCTGTGCTTGGAGGCACACAGGTACATGTACCTGCCATGATGTGCTTGTGAACATCAGAGGATAACTTTCAGGAGTCGGTTTTCTCCTTCCACCATGTGGGATGGGAAATTGAGCTCAGGTCCTCATGCTCGGTGGCAAGTGCCTTTAACCCATCAAGCTACTGTTTTCTGTTCCTTGCCTTCCCGTTCCTTACCTGATGCGCATTTTCCTGCATCTCCACACTGGAGTGTCCTGAGCCCAGAACTCAGCCCTGGTTTTCTTTTGATCTGATCTTAGGACTCTGGTCCATCTTTCTGCTGCTTCTCCCAGGGCTCTTTTCCGTGAACTATGGACTCAAGTCTCCTCAGTGTGTAATGACTGTGAGAAGAGCACTGGACAGAACTACTCTCCAGCCTCACCTCTGTTCTCTTCCCAACCCTACTCCTGCTGCTGGTTATAGCTTGGTAGATGGATAGTACCTATCATCTGAGTCTCTTCTGACCGTCCCTAAATTCACAACCTTTTCGTCAGCATGTGGGGTACCATTCTGATCTATCTGCTTGCCAGCCCTAGTCAGGAAGCCATTTGCCCTTCATGATTTATCACTCTAGCTTCTGACGTCATCTCTCTACTTACCTTTGACCACCCTCATGACCCAGTCTCCCTACACACAGCATCCAGTGTTGCCTTTGGTACAAAAGACAAAACACTTCTGTCTTGCTTTAAACCCTGTAGTGACTTTATTTCACTTGGAATAAAATGCAGAGTTCTCACTGTGGCCTACAAGGATGGCTAACTGAGGAACTAGTTAAGGGCTCTGATTTGTTCACATGTAACTATGCTGCCCTACTGTCACACGTGCTGCACAGGGCCTTACCTTTAGCTCAGCTTCCCTCTGCAGTGAGCCCCTGAGTGGCAGGTGCCGTCTCTCACTTGATCTGGCTTCTCTCAGTGGCTCGTGGTGGGGCCACCTTCTGGCCGTCTTGTACACTTGCCTCTGTTCACATTTATTGTCATTCCCTTTCCTTCACCTTCAGTTACAGCCCCCTTGACAAGTCAGTGTTTACTTGTTGACATGTCCGTGTTTCTTTGTTGAACCTGCAAGCTTTGTGTCAACCTGGGTTTTGGTCCTTGGCTCCTGATTCAGTGGGGTGGCACCAATATTGTAGATTCTGGTATTTGTAGACTGATGAGGTTCTGATAAGCCAACCTGAGGAAGCTTCACATCTTAGTAGAATGTGGCTTCTAGCATCATACCTACAGACCTTTCTTTGTTCTAGAAGAGATATGAAATGAAGCTCAGGCTGTTCGGGGGTGGCAGTGGGTGGGGTGGGGGGCAGTGGTGGGGACCCAGAGTCCCCAGCAGCAAAAGTGACAGCTAGGAGTGCTTGGCCCCTACCTGCACGTGTGACAGCCTTTCCTTCTGAGTTTGGAAGGGGGGAAGAGAAGCAAGTATTGAGCGTGCTGAGCCAAGCAGTACACTGAGCATATAACATATAACATATGACAGCACCATTAGCCTCCACAACAGCCCCTTCAGATAAGTATCATTACATCCATTTTATTGGTGAGGAAATTGAACTTTAAGAGATTGAATAACATAGTGAAGGCAATAAATATAGCAATTAAAGCAGTGTGTTCTGGTCAGTGGGGTTCATGCTTTTTCCCGAACTTACTCCATAAAACCTGAAGGGGGAGCCTGTGCGGTAATTTAATTTTTACATACAAATTCCCCGCTTTCCCTTGTCATATTTCAGTTTTTTTTTTAAAACAAACTTTTGCAAGTAGCAATCATTTCAACTTTACAAGCCATTAACCTGGATGCCAGTAATGGGGGATTGACTGTAAATCATGTGGCCAGAAAGTAGACTTCTTGGCAAAACTTCCTGAGTTAAAATCTGACATTCTTTTTGTATATCACAAACTCAAATTCTTTACCACCTACAAATTATATTTGACACATTGTATAAGCTAAATATGTCACAACAAAATTACAGAGCTGGAAAAAAATCTTGATCATAAAAAACAAATTCTTCGTTTATAGCTAAAAGCCAAGAAAGAGGTTTCCTTATCTGCAGCTGGGACTGAACCTAGCTTTTATTTCCAAAGAGTTTATAGTTAATCTGTCTGAGTCTTTGAAAACTCTTGTGTTCCCTTTCTCGTTCACATGTTTCAAATTTCGAAAGCTTAAAGAAAAATTCCCTCCTACCCATGTCCCCTGTTCTTTCCACATTAATGGAAGTTAATCAGTTTCTTGTGTATCTTTCCAGAAATATTTAGCTACATATCTTGTAGATTACTCTGTAGTAGTACATGAAGTCATTCTTAACTTGTTTTGTTTGTGATGCTGGGCACCATGACAGTGAGACCCAGGGCCTCATACATGCCAAGCAAGCACTCTGCCTTGGAGTTATGCCCCCCGCCCCCCAAAGTGCTTTTTTCCTTTCCCCTCTCCCCTCCCCATCAAGGTTGGATTGATCCTGTATTTTGTAGTTTAACTCAGCATATGTTGAAAAACATTTTAAAGTGTTTTCAGTCTTTGAAATTAGAAATGAAATGAATAGGTAATTCATTATCAAATGACTTGTACATGACAGTTTTCATACATACACATGTAGCATAAATTTCTAGAAGTGAACTTGTTGGATCAAAGCTGATCTGTTTTTATATTTAAATTTTTTTTGAGTGTGCAACGGATGGAGCCCAGCTTACGTGATAGGCAAGTGCTTGAGCGACACCCTCCGTTCTTGTATTTTTTTTTTTTACATTGACATTCTTGGGCATTTATTCTGACTGTATAAATGGCATTTGACTTTGAAAACCCTTGCTTGCCTTTTCTATTTGTCAGTAGCCATAGTATTAGTTACTTTTCTTATGGTTGTGAAAAGATGTGCTAGAAGCAGTTTAAGAGAAGAAGGAGTCTGTCATGATGGGAAGGCAGCAGGAGGCCAGGCACTGGTCATGGTGCATCCTCAGTCAGGAGCCAGAGAGAGATGGACATTGGCACTTCGCTCACTGTTGCCTTTGTTCTTTATTCTTGGGGTGGTGCCACCCACATTCAAGGTGTGTGCTCCCTCCACCCCCAGTTACTCTCTGGAAACACACTGACAGACACACCCAGAGCTGTGTCTCCTAGGTGGTGAATGACTGACTTATTTCAAAGGGGTAACAGGATTTAAAAAATAAAAACAAAAAACTAGTGTAGGCTTTAAACTTTGCTATTAACATAAAGAGCAAATCAAGTGTATTTTTTCTGGAGTCATTTGACTTGCTTCAGACCCTAGTTTTTCTAGCCTGGCGACTTTGTGACCTGTGGCAGATTATCTAACTGTTGAGCCTCATCTGTGAAATGGGGATAGTACACCAGTCATACAGAGCTGTTGTCTAAAACTACTGTTTCTCATCAACTTAAAAGATACATCACCCCCATATATTTTAGTATTTCTGAAATTGAGGCATCTTGTAATAATAAAAACACATATTGGCCACTTTTTTTTCTTGGCACATGAAATGATGTGCTGTCACTAGCACCTCAGGTTTGATGGAACAGTGGGCTCGTGTTCAGGAACAGGTGAGTTGTGTTAAGGCTTGGTGTAGGTTCAGTGCGATGAGGGAACCTCAGGGTTGGGGATGGATAGGATATTATGGCAGAGGAAGTTGTATTCTAGACCAGCAGTCAGTACTTTGGAACCCCCACTATATTAGTTACTTTCATTTTGCTGTGATAAAACACCGTGACCAAGGCCACTTAGAGAAGAAAGAGTTTTTGTGTCTTACAGTTCCAGAGGCAGAGTCCATCACAGTGGGGAAGCATGGTGGCAGAGGTGGCCAGAGCAGACAGCTAAGCACTCACATCTTCAAGCAGGCACAGGACGCAGAGGGAAGCCAGAAATACAGCAAGTCTTAAGGAATCTCAAAGCCCACCCCCAGTGACTTGCTTCTTCTGACATGGCCATACCCCTTCAAGGCTCCATGACCCTCACCAAACAGCGCCACAAACTGGGGGCCAAGTGTTAAGATACTTAAAGCCTATGGGGGACATTCTCATTCAAACTCCCAGACCCACCTAGTGGGAGGACAGTACAGTTGGTTTGTGGAGCATAGTATTACCTGGGATCTAGGTGTATAGAAGTTGGAATTAAGGAAATTTATTGGGAGATAAGAGGACCTTGTGCCCAGGGTTGGGATTTAGAAATGGTGCCCCACTTGGTGACAGGAAGACTTTATAAGAAGGAGACTATGGGAGAAGGTAAGCTCCAGCCTTTATCTGATAAGGATTTGTATCCAGAACATGTTTAGTGCCATTCATCCATTTAAAATGAGCAGTGATTATTGAATAGACATTTCTACACATATGTCCAATTAAGTATTCAAAAAGATGCTCAATATCCACTAGGGAACTGCAAACTAAAACTTTGGTGAGGTAACATTTTAAAATATTTTATTTATTATTTTTATTTTATGTGTATGATTGTATTCCCTGCATATGTGTAAATGCTTCCCTGTTGTGTACTGCCCATGGAGGTCAAAAGAGGGTGTTGAATCCCCTGGAGCTGGAGTTATGGACAGTTGTTAGCCACCATGTGGGTGCTGGGATTTGAACCTAGGTCTTCTGCAAGAGCAGCCAGTGCTCTGAACTGCTGAGCCATCTCTCCAGCCCTGGGTTAGGTACCATTTTATGTCCACTAGGATGGCTGTAATTAGAAGGGCAGATGTTTAATGTTAGGTGTTTAAT